TGCAGCCAAACTTGCAATAGTACACTGCTATCACTGACAGCTACAAGCAGGTAACAAGAAAGCAGGGGGTCTTCTCGTGGCAGAAACTGCACACTGGCTGCAATAGCATTTCTCTTGCAGTACAAATTCATGTGGTGTATTTTGCTTTTGCCTTGCTGGGTAGTTTCTATCACATCTTTTAAAAGATACGTGTTCCCTGCTGCTGTTTCAGGAAATAGCAATGTTGTAATTAATTGGCTTGAGACATTCTCAACTGTGGCTACAGAACACAGAACAAAATCTGTTTTATCATTTTGTGCCCATGTTTCCATGGTTGAAAGTGCTACTTAAGTACTGTTTATGTTATTAAATGCTATTTATAAAGCAAAGGCAGACAATAACAGCAACCTTATGAGTAATATAAAATTTTTGAGAGTATTGCATAAGGAACTGTAGACATGTGCAGGCAAAACAGCTGTGAAGAGATGCACAAGCCTGGAAAACAGAGGCACTGTCATGCTGTTTTTGGTACCAAGGGACTACATCTTCAGACTGAATCTTCAAAGGCTTTAAACATCTCCAGGTTAGCTACAAAAGACCTTCACTCATGGCATTGCCTTCTCAGAGGTGTGGCTGCTGTATAGTCTCCTTTCTCTGGGCTATAGGTGTGTAATCCAAAAAGCTAGTTGGGAAATCCTGGCATTTTACATACAACACCAAAACAGGATTCATTAAAGTCATATACTGAGTGAGTAGCTGCCTAGAATTAGTTTCCTAAAGGTATATTAATCATTCACTAAGCTATAACCTAAGTGCAACTATTGCACCTGTGGTATGCAGGTTGGTGTTTGGCAGCTAGAAGCCAGATTCCTGCCCTTGCCCACCCCATGCCAAGATGATGTTGACAGTTAACAGCTCTGTGGAACATCAGGCAGGCCTGGCACTTGGTTTCTGGTCCTTGTAACTCTCTGAAGAACACAAAGTGAGGGAGTCCATCCAAAACAGGATCAGAACTTCTGGCCTGGGCATAGGAGAAGCTTGTGAATGTAATAGGATAAGGCATAGGGCTGTGAAGTGGTAGTGTTGCAGGTATGTCAACATGCAGCACTTATTTCCTGATTCACATACGAGAATGGAGGCAGGTTCTCTCCTGCATGTTCATGTGACTCAGCCCTGAGTCAGGAGCTGCTCATGCCACTGACCCCAATGCAAGGCTTTACTGCTGCAGGTGTTGCTGTCAAATAGTGTTGTGATGAGTGTCCAGAGCACTTATACATTCAAAGCAGGCAGACTTTAACTCATGCAGGAAGGTCTTTGGAGGAAACTTTGGAATTGTTTCTGTCAGGGTTACCTTGTGGAGTTTCACCTCACACACATACTACTTCTGGATGATTCATTTCCTTTCCTTTCAGCATATGACACCGTAGGAGTTTATAGGATGATACAATTAATTCTAACTCATTGGGCTAATCCTAGTGGATTAGCTGCTTCATGAATTAGCAGTAATAAATGCAAAAATAATATACCAGGATTCATGTGATGCTGTGTGGACTGACAGTTCAGGCAGCTCAACTTCAGGTATCACTGCACATCACAGTTGATTGCACCAAGTTCTTACACTTTCTTTTCCTGCAATCACCCTGCCTCTGTGAATTTTCCATGCTGATACCTCACCCTCCAACTCTCCACTGCCTCTGGTGCTTTTGATAGACCTTGAGGTGCCTCTCATAACAAGATATAGAAAGAGGGTCCAAAGGAGAAATGAACACTTCAGCAAGCAGTCTCTGCAAGGTTATCCAGCACCCCCTGAGGGTGAGTATTCCTTCTACACTGGGATTTTAAGGAACTCCTGAGGTTACATTTCTTTGCACAGCTGAACTGCTCTAACAGTCTGCTGCCTTTGAAAAGGGTGCTCGTATTCCCCTCACCTCCTTTATTTTGAGCCTGGCCCTTTCTTCCATGGATTTATTTGGCTCATTACCTCTAGAAGATGACCACCTGCTTTCTTTTTCCTAATTATTTTTTTTCTCTGGGCTACTGAGCTCTGTCAGCTGAAAAAGCTGGCAAAAAACACTAGGATGGGATGGACGGTAGGGAGCAGAGCTGGGGATGCACGAAAAGGGTAATGTGGAACAGCAGCTCAGCTTGTGTGATGTGAGTGTGTCCTTCAGGGTTGTTTTGGGCTATAGCTTAGTTGCCTCTGAAGGAACATCTATCTCCAGAATTACTGGTGAGCCAGAGATGGACCTTAACTGAATGAACAATTTAACACAGTAATAATGAGCAGATTTTTTCCAACCTTCATCTTCTAGGGCAGCTAGCTGTAGGGATCAAGAAAAGCCAGGCCAACAGAAGGGAGCAGGCAAGAAAAGCATCTAGGGATATGGAAGAGCACTCTGCCCAGGGGAATTCCCAACAAGGCTGAGCAACCACTTTACTGGCAGCTTTCCCTGTCCCATTTCCCAATGGAATTCTACATTGAGACATGTCTGAAAACAAAAAGGCCTGATTCTGCAGATGCTAATGATTAAGAACTCTATAAATGCATTTCACAGCACAATAAAATTTGGGGTGAAATTTGCTTTTCCCCACCCCAGAACTCTCACTCCACTGGTGTTTCCCTTGCCAGCTATCTCCGCTGTCATATGGGTATAATGTGTGGGTCTGCTGTGTAAGGACAGATGTGTGACATTTGGATGCAGGTTGGCTGTGTGCACCCAGGCAGTCCTGGAGCTTTTCTCAGAGCTAAGAAGACAGTGGCATAAATGTGATCTTTCATCAGCAGATCAGTTGATCTATGAAGAGCTCTGCCTTTTTGATAACTCTTATCTCTGTGTATATATTTAGTTATTCAACATTCAGAGAACAGCCTGGGATGATGCAGAAAGTTGCATGCCACTAAGAGTGGGTATAATGGGCAGATGTGTGACTGAATCAAGGAGCTGTCTCTGAGCACAGCCTTTTGGAGAAGTGGATAGGGATGATACCCTTTCAGCATGGCTAGGGTAGGGCCTTTGATGGTACGAGTATGCTGTTTGATTATCTACTTTAGAGGAAAATAGCTTCATATTTATTTCTTCATGTGGTGAGTAAACCAGCCTGTGAGTGGAGCTGTGACTTTGTCCAGGGTATCAGTGGGGTGGAGTTAGTCTGTAAATTGCTTCAATTTTCTGAATACAGTTCTGGAGGTGTAGGAGGAAACTAACTCTTCCTAAAGTCAGATATCTATGTGACTCTTCTCTAGCATGCTATTTTGGAGCAGAGCTTTAATTTGGGCAACTGGAAGAAAGAGGTCTGTAATCTCTGCATTGTGTATAGAGCAGATAGATAGCAGTTATCATTTCAAACATCAGTGACAGAACAAGCTTTTTTTGTTCATGTCTAGTTGCAGGAAAGACTGAGTGTGTGAAACCAACTTTAAGCCCCTCCTGAGGACAGTTTCACTAGCCAACACAGGCAGTCAACCACTGTGAGTCAATATCTTCTGCCTTCTTCCCCACCTATCTCCCATAACAGGAACAATTTAATCAGAGTTTATTAAAAAGTTGCACTGAGTTCTCATCACTTTCCTTTTGCTTTTTGAACATTTGCACTTCACATTTCCCCAATTCCCTTCAAAATACATCACTTTCCTAAATGGCAATTGTGGTGATTGTGTCTCAGAGAGATGAATATTTAAAATGAAGCAATGTATTTCCAAAAAAAAAAAAAATAAAAAAATAAAAAAAATAAAAAGTCCACACTGACTTCTGTATTATTATCAGCCTAAGCAGATCTCAAGGATTTTCCGTCCTTCACCATCCCCCACTCCAGCACTCATGTCCAGTGTCCAAGCAAACTACTCCTTCCCATGTGCAGCCACAAGAGTTGCCTGGTGCTGATGAGAGTGTCTTGCTGATGGCATCTGCAGGCACAGGCTGAGCTGTAGGTCCCTTTGCTAATGGATCCGGGAGCAGAGAAAAGAGTCTTGAGCTAAGCCCTGTACTGCTCTGGTAGAACCTCAAAGAGGTTACAAATCCTGCCTGAGGGATTGAGCAGGAAAGAAATGCTGTATTATAGGTAAACGGTCCTCAAAGAGCAGAGGATACAGTAGGATTAAGGCAAAGGTGAATACTTCAGGGATTGGAGAGGGCCAGTGGGGCAGCATTGTAACTTTATTATTGCCTTTGCCCTCTGGGGGCCGTATTTAGCACAGTCTGATGAGCCAACCAGTGCAGTGCTGAACCTTGGAACTTGAGGTGCTATGGCATTCCAAAGCTCTTCTAACTCCAGAAGGCTCCCTAGGGTCCTCCCTGCTCCCACAGTGACGTAACTCCCCTGCTGGGCCCAAAGTATGTCTCAAAGCAGAACATTTAGTAAGAACTAGCTCCAGAAGAGTGCTTGATAACTCCAAGCTTCCATGAGCAATTCCAGGCACAACAAGGACAGTCAGAAGACAACTGTTCCCAACAGGGGCTGCTTGATGGATGGTGGTAGCACTCTTCCTGCCTCTTACTGCCTCATAGGAAGCAAATGCCATGGCTGTGATGTTAGGAAGAAGCTGCTGCTGTGGCATGTCATTCTGTAATAGATGATGAGTGAAGCCATAGAGGGAAATTCCCAGGAGGAGAAACCTTACTGTTTTTCCAATGGGCTGGTCAATCCATGGCCTGTCCCCTGGGCATGGTGTTGTAGGGCTGCAGACCACCACAGTCCCTGTCACCAGCTCTGCAGTCCTGATCTGTACATGCAGTCCCTGGTTAACAGGTGAACCAGCCAGGATAGGGAGGGCAAGAAGGGCCACTCCTCCACACTGGGGCATGGGTGACACACACTCCATCCCTCATCTTCCTTGCTAGCTGTGGGGTTGGCCTGTGGGATTTCCTGCTGACCTGCCAGGATCATAGCAAGTGCAGAGGAAGCTGTGATACTCTAGTCATTGTGGCAGCGCTGCCCATGGCACAAGGTCCATCAGCTGCCTGAATCTCAGAGAAGAACTCAAGTACAAGTGTGCCTGCCTTATCCTTGTTGCTGGTGAGTCCTCAAAACAGTCCTGTGGGACTGAGGGGAGTGAGGACGACAGGGGTATCAGGAGGGGTGAGGATGGGTGCTGTATCTGATGTGGTTTCTTCAGTCTCACTTTCCACATCATCCAGGCTTTCGCTGACAGAAGGGATGATTTGCACCACCTTCTCCTGGAAGTGCACTTGCTTGCGTGGGGCTGGTGGGACCTCCGGTTGGAGTGCAGCTGGATGGGTCAGACTTCTGTCCTTGCTGCCCTTCAAGATGCTCTTCATGTGGCCCAGCAGTGAGCAGTGCTGCTCCCTCTGGGCCTCATGGAAGGTGTAGGTCTGCTCAGTGTCACCAGCAATAGTTGGGGCTGCAATAGTAGCTGAAGGGTCCACGTACTGGCCTGCCTCAGGATGCGCGTCTTTGTGCCCTGAGGTCTTTCTTCTCTTGCTCAGCAGGAAGTAGGCCAAGGCAGTGAGAACAAGCATGGACCCTGGAGAGAAGGATATATTGGTTGAGCGTTGGCCCAATGTGAAGTGCTAGCCAATAAGTGTTTGGTCCAGTTAACTCAGCACTGCACACATCCTCACCATCTGTGGGTCTACCAGTCCATTGTTCCCAACAGACCATATTCGTCTTTCATTTACACTACTCCCCACCCCAACTCAGGCTCCTCACCAGGTATGGTGACATGCCAGACGATGACGGGATGCAAGAAGCAAGCCACTGAGAGCAGAGTGTACCCCAGGAATTTCTGGAAACTCCCTGGGTGTCTGGCTTGCTTCCAGCAGGAATGCGCCAAAGAGTCGGGCTCATATCTGGAGAGAGAAACAGAAGTCCTTGTACACCAAGTGCATGCTGAGGGGGTTTGGACCTAACCATGATCTATCTAAAGGTTCAGACTCTCAGTCTAGTTTGCCAAGAAAAGCTGGTGTTTTGGTTAGGGAAGCTAAATGAAGTCTGAGCCCTGAGTGTGGTGGGCAGAAGTAATAAGTCAGCATCATATGTGACCTCTTCTTGGCATGTTTATACCTACTATTTGGATTAAGGTGTTGCCTCCTAGCAATTGGAGATTTTGAGTTTATGCTGAAAGTCAGCAGAAGAGTGTAAGGATTTTCTACATTTTAACTCAAACTTCTGCTGGGCCCTTGTATGACTTTGTACCATGTGCTAAGGAGATGCTGCAGACTAGGGTTTGTCATACTGATGCTTAGCAGATTATGGCACAAACTTGGGTTAAAACGTGTTTAATTAGGTGTGGACATGACTCCACTTATCTCCCTGCTGCACTACTGCCATGGCAGTAGGGGCAGGACCTTTGGTGTGGCAGTTGCAGCTTTGACAGGTCTGATGGAAGTGACAGGTTGCCCTGGGCAAGTTGCACAAGGGTTGAGAAAGACTGGACAGGATCTACTCACGTGAAGCACATCTCCAGGAACAAACTGAGAAAGAAGAAGCCTTCACAGACAGTAACTGCAATACCTGAAAAACTGAAAGGTGGAGTTGTCAGGGAGGCAGGGCTGGGCTCTGCAGATGGAAGAAGGGGCATAGAGGGCTGGGATTTACTGTTCCAGTCACAACAAAGACTGTGTGCTACGGTCTGAACACTCTCTACCTGGCTGGTTTATGGAGGAAAGCTCAAGACCTTCCACCCATGGAGGGCTAACTTGCAGCCAGTGTCACTTCTGGCCTGCCTGAATCTACATTAGCATGAGGAGAGGGTCATTCTCACTAACAGGATCAACTTACTCATTGGAAGCCTAATGAGAGAGTTCTCAATTCCCCAAAGCCTTTAATACTGTTTCCTGCTTCTGTTGCAGGCTAGTTTGGTGCTATATTTGGTGGAGGAATCAACTGTGCCACCTCTACTAGCTCTGAGTGCAAGGGTAAAAATACTCACAGCAGGTAGAAAGCCAGGCTTTTGAACTGCCCTCGCTGTAGAGTTTCTACACCCACGCCGATCAGCACTAGAAAGGGAAGGCAGCAAAGGTGTTGACTGCTGGCTCAGTTTGTGATTCTCTGGTGTCCCATCAGCTCCCAGCATCCATGCCCTGGTGTCTATGGCTGTTGGTGCATCTGCTTCTGCTCTGTATCTTTGGTGACTCAAGCTGATACAGGAATCCTGAAATCAGAGCTGAGTGCTGGCCTTGATGTACAGCTCCTGAACCAAACACAGCAATACACCAGCAGGCAGCCTTGCTGCTGCATGGCCTGGGAAGATGTGCTCGGAGAATAACAGCTTTGGACAGAGATAAGCAATGGTGTCTGTCCAATGTCTTTCCCACCCTCTACTGCTGCAGAGACTTCAGTCGCACTTCCCCATCTGCTCCTGCCTCATCCCACACATCTGTGAGCCTCTGATGAGGCCTCTCTGCTCTGATCCTCTCCATGCCCACCAGCTCTGCTGCACCCCACATGTGGCTGTAGGGCAGAGGCAGGATAGGTGAACTGTGCCAGTTGCATTCAGGTAGGGCTGTAGCCATGGCATTAAAATTCTTTGCTAGCCAAACACAAAAACCTGTAAGAGGAGCAGGCAGATTAAAAACAAGGAATGAACATCCACCCAGAACACAAGCCAGCACAGCACACTGGGGAGTCAGTTTAAGGGGGATTAAGAGTATTAGCAAGGCTAAAGTCCTTCCAGGACTGGTCGTTGGGAGCCAATAGCTTTATGGCATGCAAACTTTCCTTCAACATCCCTCAAGGGTATTTCCAAAATAGCACAAAAACAAAGTGTTTTGCACCAGCTGCAGGGAGCTTGTTCAGTGCACACTGGCCAAGACATGAGGTGCCAGTAGGCTGTGGTTACTCTAACACCACACTGAAGTTAGAGTATTTTTCCAGATTTTGGATTACATTACCTGAGCTGTGGCTGTGCCCCACACAGAAGTAGGGTACCAGGCTCACAAGCAGGGAGCCAAGCTCTAGCCCACCACGGCCATGAGGTGGGCCAGTACTGTGGGTCTGTGCCTGAGCATGCTGTGCTGATCCAGCCAAGCCAAGACCCATCTGGACGCTGTGGTTTTGTTGGTTCTTGCTGTGTCACCTGCAGCTGCTGATCTCTACTGGCCCCTCCTGGCTCCAGGGGAACACATGGGGCCCACGTCCTGTCTCTCCACACCCAAGCAAAGACAGGGAATATCACTGTCATCAGAGGGCTGTGAAGAGACCAAGCTGTGCAGTCCTACACACAAGGAATTGTCCTTCATTATCCTGTGATAAAGCAACTTTCTTAACACTTTTCTATACAAAGTCAGAATTCATCCATTCAGTCATTCCCCGCAGACAAATGCAGAATTCAACAGCTCTAGACTCTGCTTTGCCTGGGGAATTTTTCTGATTTTGCACGGCTTTTGCTTTATCTGCAAAGCTGTTTGGGTGAAGTATCTACAAAAAGCAAGGGTTGTTTCTGAAGTGTTTGTTTGGGCTTGTTGCTGCCTTGATTTGGATCTTCTCCAAATCATGTGGTTAAAGGCACATGATTAGGAATTAAATGGTTGAAAGCATGAGAATTAAGAAAAAAGTAAAGACTCTCTGGATGCAGAAATCACGAGGCCTAAAATCTCCAATTTACTGAGATACCCCCAGCACAGAGGTCATCTGTGGGATGGTTTGATTGCTCCTCACTGACGAGCAACGGACAAGAGGATATTTCCTGTACAAGAAGCCCCATTGCACACCAAGGTCCTGGGGGAAGGAAGGGTTACATTTTGTGGGCAGTCTTTTGTGTTTGCAAGCCTATGGAGTTGGCCAGACCTTCTCAGGATCAATTAGTGAGGCTGATGCACTCTCCTCTCCCTTTCATTATTCTTATTCAACCAAAGCCTGTGGGATTCCTTTCTGCGTGGTTTCCATTTCATGTGAAAACCTCATACACCTCATCAGGCACTAAGCGCTGCATCAAGCTGTTTTCTTACCCCATTGAGACACACAAAAGAATAAAGCATGGGCACCTCCCATTCCTTCACTGTCCTTTTGGGAAAACCAGTTGATAGTAGGAAGGCATCAGAGCGGAGATATGGAAAAGTACAGAGACTGGCAGTGCAGCTGTCTGTACTCTGCAGCTGCTCAGCTGAGGGTACTGCACTGCTGGTTTCAAAAAGAGCTACGGGAAGGGGTATGGATGATGCAGAGTGTGGAAAATAGCAGACAGGCAAGAGAGATTGTATTCCATTGAGACTCTCCCAAACTGTAAGCTACGCATTCATTTTTACTGTTCTAGCTTTAGTTTTCCTGCAACAAGACCGTGTTTTCACCCAGTAATATCTGTGCGAGTTTGGAGCTTTAAGGGTGAATATGATCAGCGTAGGCTCATGTGGGCCTAAGGAGGATGGGAACAGATTTGCATTTACTAGTTAAAGCAGTGTGCCAGCTCCTGCCTGTTGCAATCTCAATACGATGTGCTGGGGAGTTTGTACAAACTCAATGACTTGAACCTCTGTACTTTATCAGTCTATAAAGTACACTGTGGAGCACAGCCTCCATTGTCCCAGCAGGGCTCCGGGTGTCCTTGGGGACCTGTGTGCTCTCCAGCTGACCTTTGTGCTTTCTGCTTCGTCCCTGACTTGAGCAAAGTGTCTGCAGTTGATAAAGGAAAAGCCAGGGTGGGAGGGCCTGCTGTGACCTACCAAGCGATGTCTGAAATCCAAAATTCCTGGAGTCTGACACAGGCACCTGAGACACTTCTCATCAGGAACCTCTGTTCACACCTCCAGCCATGAGGCAAGCTAAGCCTTTTGATCTCTGCTTTGCTGATGGAGAAACTGAGGCAGAATTCTACCTGCCCTCCCCCATGAGAGAGAGTCAGCAGCAGTACCAGAGTGAATATCTGAGCTTACTGCCCCTGCCCTGGCTATTTATCCCACCCAGAGTTGTGCTGTGGGACAGGGATGTCCACTACAGCCCAACTCTGAGTGAATGAGGTGTTGCACCACCATGGCAGCCCAACAGTTTTGTGCTGTCCTGAGTATTTTGCTTTTCAGTCCCACTCACACTATGCTTGTTCCTCTGCGTTTTTACAAGAAAATAACTTGGCTTTCTTTGCACTTTGTTTTGTCTTATACAAACAGCCCATGCACCCAGCTCTTTCCTTTGATGTGTCTCAAAGCAAAAAGGAGCAAATTCCCTCACCCCCCTTGCAGCACGGAACAGTGGCTAGACCTGGCCAAAGCCTTAGAAACAGCTCAAGAGCCCCCACCCCTATGCTTTTAGTAGCAAAGAAAGGGAGGTCTCTCTTACCTGCTGCAGTGGTGATGCCCAACAATCGGCAGGTGTACTCCAAGGCACTCCAGAATGCTTCCTGCCGCATGGTGAAGATGATGGAGGTGATGCCAGCTAAGAAGAGGCTCTGTATTCAGACCTCCAGCTGCAGGCTGAGCCTCTTGTGTGCAGGTCCTGGTGACCTTCCCAAAGGACTGGCCACCTCCACAGGGGCAGAACAAGCTGCCACTGCAGGGAACCAGTCAGCACTGCCTCAGGGTTGGAGACACTTGGCCTTTTCCCCCTCACCCGCCCTCCCGATGATGATTAATGATTGGTAAGGGGGGGTGCGGCTTTGGGAGCATTTGCAGCCTTGCAACTGGGGTGCACGCGTGGCTTTCCTGCTCCAAGGCAGCAGATCTGTAAGCCCAAGCTGATTAAATGCATGTGAAGTCATTAGTGCTGTGCGGCTCCCTGCAGGTTAACCATTTGTGAGGAGGATGATGCTTGCTTTTGGCAAGGAAGCAGAAGTCTCCTGGTAGATGGCGGGGCTCCTGGGCTCCCCAGCCTTTCAGTGGCACCACAGCCATTTGCACTGGGGTTCTACTGGCACGTGGAGTGGTGTCAGAGGAGGAGGGCTATGTGTATGCATTCTGGCCTATTTGTGTTGGCTTTGGCAGACAGCATCAGGATCCTTGGCCTGTCTCTCTGGGACACAGTGCTTTTGAGGAGGGGCAGCTCTCACTACAATGAAGGCTGAGATAGGGCAGTGTGCACCTACTCATGACCCCACATCCCACTGAACACACCTCATCTCACAGGGGTCACTGGTCCCAACCTACTGCCTGGGTGGGCACAGCCTCTGCTCCCAAAGCACAACAGGAGACCTGTGCACACACTGGTGCCCACCAGGCTGCGACTCACAAGGCAGTGATCTCATCTGCTGGGCAAATCGCCATGGCTCCTGCCCTCACTGTGCCTCCTGCCAGTGTGGGCTCAGCACAGACCCCGCACATATGGGTTTTCCTCTGCCTTTCACCTGCCCCACAGCATATTTTTGGAAGAAACAGGGATTTAGGATCTCCACAGCTGGTGACTCAGCTGTGAGCCTACAATTCCTTCTCAAGAGGGATGGACAAACCAGTACACACCAGCAGAAGAGCCCCCAAGGGGAGCAGATTCCACTGGTGTCCTTCTCCCTGCCCACTGCCGCTGGCATGCTGCAGGAATGGCATCTGCGCTCCTCTGGCCAATGGCTCCAGAAAGTACTGCACTGACTGAAGAACCCCAAGTCTGCAAACTGTCTGGATGCATTTTTCTTTGCTATCTTTTTTTTCTTTTTTTTTTTAACCTTGATGTGTTGAATTTCAGGTGTTTCTTTACAAGCTTGAAAGCTGAAAAATAAGTACATATGCCGAAGGAAAGTAGTAGGAATTTCAGGATTGCTGAGAGCTACTAGCCCAGCCTTGAAGAAGCTGCTGTCCTGAGAGCTGTCTTCAGTTCCTGTCTCTGAAGAGTGGGGCTCTGTGCCCACCCTACTTGTCCTCTGCCTCACAACATGGTCCCCACACCAGCATTGTGGTAAAGCACCACTGGGTCACCCTGGGGCTCACATCCAACTGCAGTGAGTTCTCAACCAGAAATTAAATGACTTTTTCTGGCTGCCCTTGACTGCAAAGTTTCCTTTCTTGCCAGCAACAAGCCCCAGGGTTTAAAATAAAAGTAAATTTGTGGGTGGGGCTGGTGATGGAGAAACATAGTCCATCTGGGAAAGGCAACTTAACACATTAATGATTTAAAACCCCTGTCTCCCTCCCGCATTCTCCTAGCCATTTTCCAGCATCTGAGTGGGCTACCACCTGACTTGCTGAGAGTTCTTGTCCCTTACCTGGAGGGAAGGTATGGTGTGAGCAGGAAAGGCATCCTCAGTGACAACACTACCAGTATTTCCTTCCATTTAGGAGTTTTTTGTTTAGTGCTCCTATGAAGTAATGTCATATAAATGTGACCTTTCTTGGTAGAGGGATCTCCTCTCGTTCTGCCTCCTTTCAATTGGGGAGCTGTGAAGCTGCTAGTGAAGCTACGAGCCACTTCTGTGTGTTTCTGTGAGGACTTTCAGAGTGAATTTATGCAGTTAAAAAAGAATGAGAATTTATGATCTACAGGAGTTTAACAGCCTGTAACCAACACTGCAAAACCTATGCGCCAGCACAGCCTGTTCTGGAAGCCTTGATAGCAGTGGTCTCCACTGCACATTAAGCAACTTTCCGTGCATACAGCCTTGCCATTTGCATTCTGGCTGCCAGCCAGGATTCACATTTACTGGCTACTTCCAATGATGTATAGTTTTAGCTGAGAGGATTTTATACCATGTTACTGTTTCATAGCAATGCTAGTCCCAATTTTCATCCTTCCCTTCCTCGCACTTCATTTTAGTCACATTGTAGTAGTATGGCTACCATGGCCACTGTGCTGTGTCTGCGATTAGCGGCACACGCCTCGCCCTGTGAAAGAACATTAAGTGCTGTAACTTCAAACATTCAGCCCTGGTGGGTATCAGAGAAGGTTTCTGTCTGGTTTCTCTGAGCATCGCCCTGGCCTGGTGTGATGAGGTGATCTGCCTGCGGTCCACCGGGCCTGCTGCCATCCTGATGGTGTCACAACCATGTGGGGCTGCCGGCAGGGGACAGCAGGACCCCACCACCAGCCTGGCTGCTCCCTGCAAATTGCAGGCTGCAGCCAGCCCTCTTCAAGGCGATGATGAAAGATGCCATAAAGTTTTACTATCTGAGTAAGAAGAGTGTGATAGACGCCACATGGATCCCGTGGAAACTGGGAGGATTGGAAGATCCCAGAGCTGAGGCCGGCACCAGTCCATAACAGTTTATGTAGGGTGCGGTGGGGCTGCTAGTCCTGTGACACCTTCAAGGCTCCCCGCAAGGCCAAGTTAGCTGCTCTCATCAGAACAAGATATCCCTACATGTCGGCATGAGCGCCCGTTCTCCTGTATGATTGCCTGTCTGACTCTTGTCTCTGAGGCTTTCCCAGCAATGGACTAATGTTGTACCCCTCATGCAAGCCCCAGTGAAAACATATTCCCATAAAGTTGCAAAAAGGGAAACTCAAAACCCAGAGATAAGAAAATCCCCAAGTGGAACCCTTCCCCCTCTGTTCACTGTTATTAGTAGTATTACTTTTAATTGCATGATTGATTTAAACTCATGCTCTTCAATAGGATGACAGCAGAGCTAAAGCAGGAATTCAGCAAGGAGAGAAGATATCAGGAGAGATCAGACTGGGATCAAGATGATGCTAAACCCCACCTCTGTTCTCACTGCTTCTCAGCTGCTCATGACATTTATTTGCTGGTAGCAGAGTGAATGGTATGAGGGCTGAAGCAGGAGTGGGTGGAAAACACTGCAGTGCGAGTAGAGCCCTGGCAGGGATGTGGTGCTCATGCCAATGGGATGCTCCCCGCAGGCAGGACTCAAGCCTTGGAGCCTGATCTGGGCTCTCAGGTGATGACAGGAGATCTTAGCTTGGTAATGTGAACCATACATGCAGCTTACACATGCAGGAACCTCCACCATAAAGAAGCAGATTGTAGCAAAAGCAGTCCAGCCCCCACATCACAGGGTTAAAAGGAAGCGCAGAGCCCAGGGATACAACATGTAACTGCACAGGAGTGGTGCAGGGGCAGAAAGACTACCCACGGGGATCTCCAGAGCAGCCTGTTGCTGTATAGCAGAAGAACGAATGAAATCAATCACACATATTTTTTCTGGATCAGCAGCTCAGCTGCTCTTGGGACCCCTGAACAAAGACTGGAGTTCCCCAAACCAGCCAGCTCCTTCCCCACCACTGGACTTGTCACACCACTGGTGTGACACACCAAGCACCAAGCTGCCTCAGGCTGCAGTTCCCATTTTCCAACTTCTCCATTCCCTTGTTTTCCCCTACAAATCATTGATGAGCTGTCACATTGGGATCAATGGCAGCCATGCTACAGTGTGCAGGGTGTGCAGACTGGTTCTCAGTGCTGAGAGCTGATGATGTTGCCAACAGGAGCACTGTGTCAATACCAAGGAGAGGCTCCTAGTTTTCCTATTGCACTGACTCATCTCCGTTTTGCATGGGGAAGTAGGGGCAGGGAGCTTCGATGCAGACAGCACACAGCAGGTCAGCCCAGCTCAGCCCAGGGTGATGCATCCTTTCTGCCTGCACATCTCTTGAGAAATCCAATGGTGGCTCTTAATCAGGAAGGTTATTCACCTAAGCTGTAACCTGAATTAACATGAATTGCTTACAGAGTAAATGCTACAAGCTGTGCTGCAATGGTGCTGAGTGAAATCCACCCCTGCATAGTGGGCCTGTAACAGGACTGGTACAGCCGTTTGGTGCCACAGGACAGGAATGGTTCTCTGCTTAATCCTGTAAGAGAAGTATCACCATGGGGGAAGTGCAATAGTGTCACCGTGGGGGAAGTGCAATAGTGGAAAAGGAGCTTACAAAGAGATCAAATATTCATGTGCAGTCTCTTGGTCTGGAGTGTATTTCATAAGGAGAGATGGAATATTTTATCAGCTATCAGGAGGAGGGAGTAGTGCTGAGTTGCAGTATAAACAAGCTCTGTGCAGGAGGGTCAGCCCACAGACGTTTATCCATCCATCAAAACCATTTGACTTCTTGCCCTTTTTTCTGGCAAAGGGGACCGGTAACTTCTCCCTGCGTGGGAGCAAACAAGGTGTATGCAGAAGTGATTGATTCACCTGGTGTTTGAGACACACATCAAAGAGCCTGCTTGCTGTGTTTTGAAGCCTAGTGAGCAATTTATAGAAGAGTCTATGAGGATAAATACTGAGAGATTTATGTGAAGCAACACAAAACACATGTTTTTGGCTGTGGAGATGAAGAAATATACGAGGACTTGCAAGCTATATAGCTTAAGTTATTTATGAAAGTGTTCCTGTTCAGTGGGATTTATTCTGGAGCTGCATTGTACTTGGAGCTGCCTCTGAAAGGCTGTGAAGCAAACAAGCACAGCAGGCCCCATCATCTCTGTGTTGTCTCAAAGGGGTTTGAGTGTTGAGGTTTAAAAGTGGAGGTTTA